TTTTAATATATATTTAAATATATGAATGGATGGAAATATATATGAATGAATGCATATTTTAAAATATGAATGAATAAGCATAATTACTCAGGGAAAGGAAGTTTCTCTAGTTCATTGAATAATTAATATTTAATGAATTGGAGTGGGGGGCTCAAACTAATTCAGTAGTGAGAGATTTCAAATGTACTGAAGAGAAGTAAATTAGCCAACAAATCTAATGATCATTAGATTTCTATTCTATTCAGGATTAATAAATTAAATATATAGCAATGAGTCAAACTGCAAGATGGGTTTGGATGACCCCAGTGAGTATGAGTGTGGTCAGACTCCAACCATCTACAACCTGCTATTATCATTAGTCATCATTAGTATTATCAGTTATGATCAACATTATCAACATAATCTCAATCCTAGAATAGATGTGTATACATTATTTAAAGAAATAGGATTATTATGGGGGCAGGGGAGGAATGAAATTGTATTTACTTACATATACTCATGAGGAAATTCAAGAACCAGAGATGGGAAACATGACTCAATATTTGGGTAAAGGTCAAGGGAGGGAGAAATAGAAATGATGCCACTGAAGTATACTACAGATCCCTTAGAAAGAGGAAATAAAGAGTTGGGAAAAACAGATCATAAGCCTGGTTGAGAAGCATGAGATGGTAGTGATGGGGGACTTCAATTTTCCAGATAGGTAGATGAGGGGAATGCTGTTCCCCTAGACTTTAGCAAAGTTTTTGATAAAGTATCTCATACTACCCTTTTGAAGAAAATGGAGATATGGATTAGGTGATAATATGATCAATTGGATTCACACCTGGTTGGTGGCAGAACTAAAAATGTGGTTATTAATTATTCGAGTCCACATTATAAGGAGTATCCAGTGGTGGTCCCCAGGGCTTTATGTATGGTCTTGTGCTGTTTAATCAATTTTGTGGATAACAGCATAGATGGTTCCTCAATTTGCAGGTGACATAAACCTGGGAGGGAGAGCTAACACACTGGCCAACCAGAGTTGGTATCCAAACAGGATCTTGGTAAGCTCAAGCATTAGGCTGGATTTAACAAGATGCAATTGAACAGGGATAAATGTTTTGCAATTTGGGTACAAAAAAATCAACTTCACAAGTATAAAATGGGGGAAGACCTGAGATCTGGGGGTTTTAGTGGACCACAATTTAATATGAATCAGTAGTGGGATGGGGCAGTCAAAAAAAAGCCAATGTGATATTGTACTGCATCAAGGAACTTCCGGGTTCCTCTTCCAGAAAGCTGTGATAGTTTCACTGTGCTCTGCCTTCATCAGATTTCATATGGAGTATTGTGTTCAGTTATAAGCACCAGAGAGGGTCCAAAAGGTAGCTGTAAATAACCTTGAGTATATGACATCTCATGAAGGAACTGGACATGTTAACCTTGGGAGAAGACTCAGGGGCAACATGATAGCTGTCTTCAAGAATTTGAAGAGCTGCTATGTAGAAAAGGGACTAAGCTTAATTAGGGAAGGCAGAGGCAAGAACAATGGGTCTAAGTTACAAAGAAGCTAATTTAGGCTTGATGTGAGGAAATAACTTAACAATTAGAGTTGTGCAAAAATGGAATTATTTCTCAAGAAGTGAGGGTTTCCCCCTCCTTAATGGTTTTCCAGTAGAGGCTTGGGGGGTACTTCATAATTGGGGTTTTTTTGGGGGGTGAGATGGACCAGATGGGCCATTAAGATCCCTCCCATATCTCAAATTCTATGATTATATCAATGTATACATTAAAATTCTGTGTGTACTGCATTGTCATATTATTTATCATTGTTAAGACACTTCACTTTCATATATTTACATAGTGTTTTGAATTATATTTCAAGGTAGGTAGAGTAGGGATTTTATTTTATTTTTGTTAGGACCTATGATTTTATCAATGTGGAGAAGTTTTCCCACCGATATAAGTCAGCAATTCCTCTGTAACATATGGGCTTAATGGGAGTTTCCTGGATCACTGAGAAGTTGACTTGCCTGTGGTCACAAAGCTAGGATATGCCAAAGTTGGACTCTAACCCACAGACACAAGCTGCTTCTGAATCATGCCAGCTTTTAGAAATTGTCTTTTATTCTGAACTTAAACTCCAAATAAAATGAGCGTTTCAATTTAATCCAGTTCTGGTCCGTTTCCTGAGCTTCAAGCCCGCATTGCAAACTGCTTATTAAACATTTCAAACTGGACGTCCTTTAGGCATCTCAAACTTAACACATCTAAAGCTGAACTTACCTTTTCCCACAAACTATCCCTTTTTCTATTTCTGTGAAGGGCGCTACTATCCTTCCAGTCACCTACACGCACATACTCAGCATCATCTTTGACTCTTCACTCCAAATACCCAGTTAGTGTCAATCTTATGTCTACCACCAACATATTTCTCATCCCCTTCTATTAACACAATTTAGGCCCTTATTACCTCAACTATTATAATGGCTTCCTAACTGTGCTCCCTGTTTTAGATCTCCCCACTCTAAGGTATCCTCCACACAGCCAGTAAACAGACTTTCCTGAAGCATGGACTGACCATATCACTCCCCATCTCAGTACATTCTAGAGGCTCCTAATTATATATAGGATCAAATTTTCACTCCTCTGTTTGCTATTTAAAGCCTTTCACAATCTGTCTCCAGCCTTCTTCCACATTATTCCCCTTCACACACTCTTTGTTCCAGCCAAATTGGGTTTTTAACTCTTCCTCATGCATGACTAGCCCACCTTCCCTCTCCATGCCTTGGCATTAGCTGTCCCCATTGCCAGGAATGGAGTCATCACTTCACTTCTTGGAATCCCTGGTTTTCCTTCAAGACTCGTCTCAAATGAGACCACCTACATGAAGCCTTTCCTGATTCCCAACCCTCCCTTACCCCCACAGATGCTAGGGTCCTCCCCCCAAAACCTACCTGGTAAATTTTGCAAGTAATACATATATATGTATCCTCTGATAGAATGTAAGCGACTGAGGACAGAGATTGCTTCATTTTATACACAGTACTTAGTAGACAGAGGTCTTTAATAAATGCCTATTGCTTGATTACCAGGTTGGACAGTTTGGGAACCTCAGTCATGGCTTTGGAAATACTTAATCTCTCTGCCTCCTGCTTGTGGGCTGTTATCAGTATTTTATAGCCATTTTACTTTCTAAATTTATTTTCTCTTTACCCACTGGGGGGAAAAATAAGTCTAAAACCATTTCTGTCAAATTTGATAACATAAGTAATTTATAGAGGGAAGGGGGAACTAAAGTTCCGTCCTAAATCCCCAGGCTTTCCCCTGGATCTTTTCCTTCTTACAAATGGTGAAATTCTAAGGCATCACTGAGCACAATTCTCCCCAAGGGACTCATCAGTGTTCACTGGGCTGAGACCCAAAACCTCAGCTCAGAAGGGTAGGGCAAGAGAGTGCTAGTGACAACTTCAGCCCAGAAACCACAGTGTTTCTTACTAAGTCCTGTGACCTGTGGCTGATGTGGCTGGACAGGAAGGATATGTATATTAGGGGTAGGGAGGGAGCAATTTGTCTATTATTGTTCATCTCTTAGCCTTGGCCCCATCACTTCCCTCTAAATAAGGATCACAACTGGGAACAAAAAAACAATTTCCTGGTTTTTTCATCTCTGGGGCTCCCCAACTCTCTCAATACTAGAATAGATGGAACATGGGGTGAGCGATAGAGCCAGGACCCAGAGAAATGTGTAATTGTAATAATAACTGACATTTTAAGGAGTGTCTTAAAGATTACAACATATATACACTATCTGGTTTGAACCTCAAAACCAGCCTGTAAGGTAAGTACCATGGTTCTTGTGTTATGCTCATTTTACAGAAGAGGAAGCAGGCTGGGAATTTAAGGGACTTGTCCAAGCTTACAAAATCCTCAGAATGTGAACCTGTCTTCCTGACTTCCAAGTATCATACTCTTATCTTCTATGTCACAATGTCCTCAGCAGCTCAGTTATAGAGTTCATGGAAGGTGCCACAGTCAAAGCTTCCATTTCCCCAGCTGCTCTAGCCTCCACTGACCGCTCAGAGAGGGAAAGCTAGGCCAGATTTCTGGACAGCTACCTGCTGACATAAACTAGGCTACAGTAATGGCCTGAGCTTCCTCCTTACTGCTCCCATCACTCTCTAGTGAGAGACTCTCCTCAATATAAAAAAAAAATCATCCAGGATATCTAGGCTCTCTGGTTTCCTCATCAAAGCACAGGCTATGGGATCCACTTGCCTCTAATTCTCTGCCCCCTGCCATGCCCACCACTACCCCCCTCATGTTTCCCAGCATCGACATCTCAATGACGGCTAAGACATTACAAAGGACCTTCAAGGTCCCTGAACTGAGAAAGTCTCAAGAGATCTTGCTACAAGCACGCCCCACCCCAGCTTTCCCACAAATGCTGAAGAACCTTCAACAAGAGGGAAGGGGCCCTTGACTCTGTCTCCCACCCTTACCCTGCAGTTTCCACCACACTGACATGTGAACCAGTGGCTACAGGAGGTAAGAATCACTCTTTACTGTCAGCTCCTTCTCTCTATGCCAAGTATAAAGCCATGGACCCCCACGGCTCCCTAACTACACCAGTCATTCTCCATCACAGAGGCCAGAGTGGCTAGTCACCTCCTGTGGGACATTAAGACAGAAGGTGAAGACAGGGCCGCGTAGAAGGGCACCATTAACTCTTGGTCCCTTTTTAGTCTCATGAAACCCAGAGGGAGGGAAGAAGACACTGATAGATAGAGCCATCTGTCACAGGAACCACAGATAAGCATTTGAAATGGGACAGAAGAGACTAGAGCAAGGTAGAATCAAAAAAAACCCCATCAGAGGCACAGGTATTTCACTGCGAAGCTCACACCCATTAGCTCGTTCTCCGTCCTATGCCACTACACCCTCTGTGAACTGATCTCTGCTTTCCATGGGCCTCGAAGGCCCATGTCCTTTCCCCTCACCACTCCCCACATTCAACTCACCGGCTTCTTGAATCAGAAGCAGCAACAGCAAGACCACCACTCGGGTCATCTTGGGCAGGGGCTCGGGAACCACAGGCTGAGATCTGGGCGCTCAGCTGGTTGGTTGGCTGGCTCCTCACAGTTGTGTTCAGCAACTCCCTGACCACAGTTTCCCCCCTTCCTGCCCCGCCTCCCCCACCAGCTTCGGCCCCTTCCCCTTCCTGCAGTACAGGCTGGGCAGCTCCCGGAAGGGCCACATCAGACAGCAAGGATGCCTGAGTGTGGCCCATTTGCAGACCTAAGATCTTGAAGAACCAAAACCCTCTAACCCCAAGAGAATGAGCCCTCTCAGCCATGGAGAAAAGGCTGGACCCAGCTTCCACTGTCCACTCCAGCACAGCACTAGAGGAATTCTGTACTGGACAGGACGAGGACCCAAGCCCTGGGTTGGAGGCGATCCCCAAGCGTCTACCACGTTCTTTCTCCCTGCGGTTTCCTGCCTCTACCCAAGGTTTAGGGTAGAGGGGTTACAAGAATGGGAATTAACAGCATGAGGCCAAAGCAGCTCTGCAAGGACAGAGGAAACTGAGAGGAGAAAAGGGGAAGAACAAAGGAAACAGGGAAAGGAGAAGTGGAAAGAGCATGTGGGAGTGGCAAGGGTGGTAAAAGATCCCCAGACATCTGAGTCTGGTGACGGGGAAGTGAGGGGGGTTTAAGCTGCCCCTCCCTCTACCCTTCTTACCCAAGATCCTGGAAAAACCCATAGACAAAAAAACTTTCATAGGCAAAGTAAAGTAATGGGAAGGATGGACAGAAGGAAGAAAGGGAAGCTGGACACGGGGACCGCAGAGCGGCTAATTTATTGTTATTTCCTTTATCTTAGCAGAAGCACAGATCACTCAGTGAGTGTGTGCGTGCACCCCACGCCCTCTCTCTCTCCCTCTCTCTCTCTCTCTCTCTATCTCTCTCACTCACACACACACACACAGAGCCTATCTTTCCCTCCCACTTCCCTCAGGAGATGGTAATCAGTGAGGAGATAGCAGAGATAAGTTGCTGTTCTCTGGCTCACCGATCTACCTCTCCAAACACGATGTCCTGGGTACCTAGAGGGTAGAAGAAAGAAACTAGTGTCTGCAGGGGCCATACATTTCTATTCCCTATGCTCGATCTCAGTCCTCAACCCATGCAGGACATTATACCGCCCACCCAAAGACACTCATACCTATGATTGCCACCACATCCGCCAGCATGTGCCCCTTAGACATCTTGTCCAAACCAGCCTGGAGATGTGAGAAAGCAAAAGAACATCAGATGATCAATACTGGGGGTGGAATACAGGAAGGAGAGAAAGAGCACTGAGGGTTTGTAGGGAGTCAGTTCTTACAGGCCCTGGGATTTGGAAATAACTGGGGTCTGTTGTTCTCACCAAGTGGGCAAAGCCAGGTGCTTTGATCTTGCATCGATAGGGGCGGCTGCTGCCATCAGAAACTAGGTATACTCCAAACTCTCCCTGTGCAAGAAGGTGCAAGGGAGATGTCACATCCCTGATTCCCCAAAAAGGAAGACAATTCCTGACCATTTCCTATTTCTCTTGTCAATTCTCATGTTTCTTTTCCAATATAATCAACATTCATCCATCAAAGTCCTCCTAGGTGCACATCACTATGCCTTCTCCCACTGTGGTAATTCCTTACCTTTGGTGCCTCGATGGCAGTGTATGTAGCACCTGGTGGAACCTGGTAGCCCTCAGTATAGAGCTTGAAGTGATGGATTAGTGACTCCATGGATGTCTAGAGGACGAAGAAGAAAGGAGTGAAAAACTCAGTCAGTCATAATCAAAGACCTGAGTACACTCTATGGGGAGAGAGACCTATGCTTAGGACCAATTGAAAGAAAGAAACCAACAGGATAATCAATACCCACATAAAACAAAATGCAAGTGTAAATATAGATAACAAAGTTTACAAATGAAATATAAACAAAGAAAAGAGGACCAAAGTGTGTTAGCCTCACAAAGACAATCCTTTCAGGGACTGAAGCTCAGCTCTGATCACTTTCCCCTTTTCTATTCTTTCTCTGTCCTCAGTTCCTCTCCTAGACCATTCCCTATCTCCAACCTTCATCTCTGCCCGCTTTGGTGGAGACACTTTGGCATCATCAACTTTGATCTCCCCAGGAGGCATCTTGTTAAGACACTGCAGAATGATCCGGAGAGCCTGACGCATCTCTTCTACCCGACACAGGTACCTAGAAGGTGGTCCAACAGAGAAACAAGGAAGGTCTGAGATCAGTTAGGGTCCTGCCCTGCCCAGGTCTAGCAGGGCAAAACCCTAAACTGTACCCATTGGCTACTCTAAGCCCCCTATATGAGACCTCTCTACCTCTGATATTTCTGCCTCGCCCTGAGCCTGAAGCATATCCCAACAACCCTGTAAGACCCCTCCCACAGTCTTCTCTTTGTTTCTTTTGGTTAGGCCCTAGGGAAGCTGTTCCTCCCACTCCACCAAATAACTGACACTTACATGGGGGCCATCTCCAATCAGCCTGATCTATATCTGGCCACTGGACCCAGATGGCTCCGGAGGAGAGAGTGAGGTTGGTGACTCTGCACAGCCATGCCTCACTAAATCCAATTCACTTGCAAGTCATTATATCACCTTCCCGATGTCATGGCCCTCTTCAAGAGGACCTCACTTACACAGTACTTTATGGTTTGCAAAGGGCTTTACATACATTATGCATGTGATCCTCACACAACCACTCATCGAGGTAGGTGCTGCTATTAAGCCCATTTTACAGATGAGGAACCTGAGGCAAAGGGAGGTTAAGGGTTGTGGCCCAGACCTGCAGTTACTAAGTGTCTGAGGGCAGGCTCACATGCAGGCCCCTGGACTCCAAGTTCTGTGCTCTACTCACTGCCTACAGATTAATTATCTATACTGTGTCAAAGGAATGTAAGATGCTAGGAGGCAGGACTGACTCCCTACGGCTTGCTGGATCTCCCTGGAGCCACCCAGTGGCCCTCTCAGGGGGCACTAGGAGAGCACACCGCCCCACTGGAGCAGAAGGTTGGCGGACTACGCGTGGACCTCTCTAGCCAGTGCTCCTTCCTAGGATGGAGCAAGGCAGGGCCAATCGGATGGTGCTGTATGACTGAGGAGGACAAAGGTGGAACTAAGAGACAGCAGAAGGTGCTGCTCTAACTCGGTGAGCTCCAGGGAAGCCCCAACTTCTCAGGCTCTACTTCCTCATTTGTAAGACGAAGACTTACCCTGATGACCTCTCAGAAAATTAATATGCACATGAGAGTGCTCGGGAAACTAAAGATCTGTGGGCTGGGAGGAAGAAGAACTCGACTCTTGTCCTTGCTTCATTACCATTAACATAATCTTGACAAAGGCAACCAAATCTATGCATTAGTTTTCTCAAACGTAAAACAAAATTCCACCAGCACTTCAAAGGTCACCTCGAAGGTAAAATGATAAAGGAGGAAGTACGACATGGTGAATAGAGTGCTAGGCTTCAAGTCAGACCTAGGTTCAACTCCCAACTCTGCCACCTACTGATTGACTCCAGGTAAGTCATGCCTTCTATGTGCCTTAAGCAACACTCCAACATTTATCTAAGTCAGGGACAGTTTATGAGTTGTGCAGGTAGAGACAGCTCCCATAACAAGATTCCTCCCTGGATGAAATCAAAGATCTTCTGAGTTAAATGAGAATGTCTATGTGTAAAAGCACTTCAGTGAGTAAAAAACTCTATACAAACAGCAGTTACTGCAGGTGAAGATGAGGGAAGGACAGGAGTTGGAAGGCGGCTCCGTCCTACCTGTCATAGCAGTCGCCTTTGGAACCAATGGGGACATCAAACTCTACTTGGTCATATGCATCATAAGGCTGAGTCTTCCGCAGGTCCCACTGAATCCCGGAGCCTCGAAGCATCACCCCACTATTACAGGAAAGGTAGAGAGAGAAGGTTACATTCCATAATCAACAAAGATGCCATTGCTCTCTTTCACACTGCCTCTGGGCAGATTCAAGTCCAAGCTGAAGGGCAGCCAGAAGAGGGACAATACCACAAATGCCAAGAGCAGCAAGATGGCCTAGCCTCCCACCCAAAAAGACCAGTTTCTTCACTTCTGGGTATAACATGGGCCTTGCCCAAGGGTACTCATCCCTGCTCTGCCTTGTCCAGCTACTGACCTGAAGCCATAGTTTAGGGCCTCTTCTGAAGTTACCACTCCAATGTCAACTGTTCGATTTCGCCAAATCCGATTGTTGGTCAGCATCTGCCACCCCAAGGAAAGAAGTGCCAATGTATCACCTCATGCCAGGGAAGCTCTCATTTTTTTTAGAACCAAAGGCTAGTACCTCCCCACTCCACCTTGAGTAATTCCTGGCAGTACCCAGGCAGGTTTCCTCATTCCCCTTTATCTTACTTCTTCAAGCTCATCAATCCGAATGGAGAAGTTCTTGACAAATTCATAAATGTCATCCATGAGCCCAAGGGGCAGGTCCTGAGGAGCCAGGTAGAGGCAAGTTAGAGAAAGGGACATTGACCCATCAGAGAAAGTCCCAAAATTCTCCATGCCTAACCCTATGGAATATTAGGGCTACATCTAACTTCCTATTTTCCCCAGTCAGGGAATCCTAAAATACTGTAGCCAGAGAGAACAGAGGTGAGGCATGAAGGGACGGGAGGATGGCAGGCACTGCAGAAGGGGCTCTTCTTACCTGGTGCACCCCTCCTGGACGTATGTATGCTGCATGCATTCGTGCCCCTGATACTCGTTCATAAAACTCAAACATCTAGAAGGGACACACTGAAAATCAGAGATAAAGCCCTTGGCCCCCCAAGAATACCACACTCTTTGTATCACCACCTGTAGCATTCCAACACTAAAAAATAATCAAGATAACTTCCAAGAAGCCGGTCCCCTGGCCATTACTCTGTATGTCAGCTATGTTTCCCAATCTCACACCCAGAGCCCTTCAATATCTCCCTTTTCTGTACTTTCCTTCAAACCACCTCTAATCTCTGTGCCCAGTTATACCTTCTCCCTTTCTTCAAACATCCAGAAGAAGGGAGTCATGGCCCCAATGTCCAGGGCATGTGTGGTCAGTGCCATAATATGGTTCAGCAACCGTGTGATCTCTCCAAATAGCACTGTGGAGAGGGAGGA